CCGGTTGGCAGAAGAAGGACTATCAGGTTTGGTACGGGCTGGAATAGTGGATGAGGGGGTAGAGAGGGTATTGGAGGCTCGGTTAGTAAGCATAGGGGAACTAGTTTTAGGATTCAGGATAGTGAAATTTTCTGGAACAATAATTTCAAATCTAGGGTTTAAAACAGTAGTTACTGGAGTGGCTTGAGGAACAAAGGCATTCTGAGGCAATGCATTAACAGTGGTAGAGGTCATCGAAGTGGACAGTTTGGCATCAGAAACAGTACCTGCGGCTTGAACATCAGACCCCGGAGATGGGGTAGTTTACAGTTTATCCTTAGATTGTTGGGAGGCCGTAACAGGTGAAAGGTGAAGAAATTGGGCAATGGAAAGGGGAGAGGAGGGGTCTGGAGGGTAGGGGGAGCAGGATGGGGACGGGAGGATCCACCAGCAGTGGAAAGCAGTGGATTCAAGGCGGAAACAAAGCCAGGAGGGAGCCAAGGGTTCTTCATTGGGAACCAGGCCAGAGAGAAAAAGACTTTCTCCCACTATTCATACAAAACATGTTTGTTGGTAAATTTTATGGAATAAACAAATTTTACAGTCCAAAAAGAAGAAGATTCTCTAGCAACTAGTCTTCACCTCATCATCACCATTTGGTTCGACAGGTGACTTTTCTCGAGTACGTGGTAAATACAAACCATCATTTCGTCAAAACTTAAACCCACGAATAAAAATCAACAAAGAATTTTTCGAGGTGAATTGTTAACTTCCACCTGATTTTTAGTTATGGTATTTCGAACCGCCTCATCATGCATCTGTAGCCCCAAATGATACTTTGTCTCTTAAGCTGACCCAATATGTGATCGTCACCATTACATAGATCTTTCTAGCTCTTGTATATCTCCAAAATATCCAAAATTACATTTATAAACGAATATAAGTTATGTTTAAACTTTAAATCGAAATAATTAAAATACCTAAAATATCTAAAAATATTTAATTCTATTTGTCAAAATTTTAAAATTACACAATAGAATCAGATTTTAATTAGATTGAGTATTTTTTTTTTTTAGTTTTTTGTGGGTATTTGAGAGTATGTGTGGAACCAAACTGAACCCGGCAAAAAAAAAACATGAATGTATTATTGACCTCTAATACCAAAATACTTGAAACCTTAAAAAAACCGATCCAAATCCGAACAAGTATCTGAATTTTCATGTCTAGTTGTCTACGGTAAACTTTAGCTTCGTCGCTCCCTTATTTTTTAAGGACGGTTGTCTTATCTTTTTTCTCTATCTCATGATTTTTCTTTTTGGAGAGAGTAAAAGAAACGAACAAATTCTATATGCAATAAAGGTAGCCGCTTTTTAACCGACTGATCTAGAGAAATCAAATGCGGTTTTTTAATCCTCTAATTATGAGCAAATGATGAATTATTGTAATTAAAGAACTAATTATGTAGATAGAAATGAACAGTTTTACCAAATTCTTCCACACAATATAACTTGGAATGTCTAAGACATTTTAGTGAAAAAACTCTTCAACTAAGTTTGAATTGGATAAAAATCTTGCAACTATTTTTGTAATGTAAAACATCCTTCAATTTATGTTTTTTTAATGATTTAGCCCCTTCACAAAAAATATCGTCAAATCTAAACGAAGCATTTGGCCTTCTTTATTTTTAGAAAAACAACATGACCTCATTAAAACAAAATCCCAAATTGACTTCAGACAAAAATTTCCCAATTTAAAAATTAAAGTTTTTTTTTCCTAACCTAGTTTCTTATTCTTCTAGAGATCAAAATCTGTAACAAGAGCATGTGATCAGTTTGTAAGACTTGGAACTCGATACATAAAAAGGGTTAATAAAAAATGTTTAAATTGAAAACACATACAACTATCAATACATGAAAGGGGTTAATAATGAAAAATCGTCGTTAGAAGAAGAATGTGATGTTAAAAAAAAAAAGACAGTTACTTCATCTTCTTCCAAGCTCCAGATTCGTTCTTTCTCCTCTTTCTCCCAATTCGCGAAAATATTTTTCTCAATTCGACTACTTATCTCTCAAATTCATTTTAATCAACACAGTGAATCATTCCCAATCTCACCTAAATAACTTGCAAGCCACAAAAACTACTTAAAATCACATTTTTGAAAATTAGGGTTCATCAATTTAGGTTTAACTTAAGAATCTGAAGATTTTAAAGCTTAGATTTAATTTGGGGATTTTAATATCTTGTTTTCAAAATGCTTGTTGCTTTAATAAAAATCATGCTGTTTTGGTTTGTATGTGTGTAGTTTTTCTGCAAAAACAAAATTCTCTATTTAGATTTAACAGTGTTATTTACGAAAGAGCTAAATTATTATGAAAACTTAGTTAATTAGTTTTTACATTACAGAAATAGTTAATGAGTTTTTATCTAAATTTCCACTAAGAACCTTAACTAGAAAGAAATATAGTTTTTAGTATTGTCTAGGTCTGATATTCGTCGCGTCCTTAAAATGTTTTCTTATTCGTCAGAGTCATTCTCGATGGTCCTCCTTGGTCATAAGTTGTTTTACCTTTCTTTCAACCTGCATGAGCATCATTATGATATGAACTTATGATGGGTATCTTCTTATTTTTCAATACCATGATCATCATCGCACTTATTTCATCCTCATCATTTGAGATTTCTTGCCATTGCATATTTTTCAATATTCTTATAACCATGAGTAACAAACTTAAATGAGCTTTCAACACGTTGAAAAATGCTAAAATCATAAGTAATATTGGGATATTGGTGAAATCGACCATACTAAGATTATGGAAATTATGAAGATCAAGAAGGATATAGAAGATTATGAATATTTACCAATAATTCAGTTTTAGAAATTTACTTTTATCCCTATATATATTGTTTACATTTATATTTATTTTAGGTCTAGATTTATCTCTATATAAAAGAATGTAATTTGTACAATTATTCTGATGAGAGTCTAATAACTTCCTAAACACTTTTGTGTTCTTACTCTTATAAATTTATCATGGTATTAGAGCTTTCGATTCTAGTCCTGACGGGTTATGATTTTCTAATCTGTTTTTCTTTTTCTTGACCTATCTCCATCATTTTTTTCTTTGATGTTTGGGACTTCTTCATCTTATACTTATGAGTAGACTGACTCTTCAATCCACTGATCGTCTTGCTTTCTAATTGATTATTTAACCAATGTTCTTTTTTATCATGTATTCTCTATTTTGCTCGAGCCATACTATATTCGTCTTGGCTTGTTTTCTTGTTCTGTTTTTTAAAAAAGGTGAGACGTGATATTTTTGATGGATCGTTTAAATATTCGGTCATTGATTGACCATATTGATTTTTTACTAGCTACCACAATTGCTACTTTCTTGGAGAACACGTAATGATGATGGTGTTTCTCTTTATTATTTCATGGTCTCATATGTTACATGTATGGCTCTGTTTATGAGCATGAACCTATTATCGATGGGTTCACTCAGTTTTCTCGCCCTCGCAAGTTTGACATGTTTATTTGATTTGTCTTCTCGTCTTTAAGATTTGCTTTCTGATCTCGCAATCACGGACTTTTATGGTGTTCATGATGGATTTTTTATCGAACCAATTTTATCCTCAACCGGGTATAAACGTTATAATGATCTAATGACTGGGTGTTGTAGCCGACCTGACCCGACAGTCGGGTATAAAGCCAATATTTTGAAGATTTGAAGATTTGTCTAATTTACATGTGATTATGTATGAGCTTGCGGAAGGGTATTGGGAGATTGGTGAGATCGAGCATACCAAGATTATGGAAATCATGAATATCAAGAAGAATTAAAAAGATTAGAAATATTTACTAATAACTTAGTTTAAAAAGTTACCTTTATCTCTATATATATTATTTATATTTATGTTTAGTTTAGGTCTAAATTTATCTCTATATAAAGGAATATAAGTTATACAATTATTCTGATGAGAGTTTAATATATTTCTTCCTAAACTTTGTATTCTTACTCTCATCAATTAATCAATAAAACTAGAAATCAAAATCCAAATTTTTTTAAAAAAACAGGTATGATAAGAACCCTACCTTGACGTACCAGAGCAAGTCGGTCAGAATCAGAGTAACTGGAGACCGCTAAGCCCCGTGTCTTGAGCGTGATACAGGTGGCTCCCATCATGTGTTTGGCGAGGATGGGAGAGAACCACCGCCGATAACTTCCTCTCCGTTGACAACCGCCTAAGTTACCTTTAAGGTATATTTAGCCGTAAGTGTGGTGGCTGTGTTGTGTCAAACCAAGAATGAAACCGAAACCGAGACCGAGACTGAGACCGCAGTGCAGAAAAGACTCCATGAAAATGTACGTAGATAAAGGTTCAGTTTCTTTAAGAGTGTTTGTCGTTGTTAGAATTGTCAACAGAGTAATCGAGGGTGGAAGTGGAGTAGTACTCGACGGTAGAGTTATTGGCAGCGTCCTGGACTCCCACACAATTTTCTGCCATTCCTTTTCTCCGCTGCTCCAGCCACATGGCCACTGATCTTCCAATAAGTGTAGATATTGGACAATGCCAATTTAAGTTTGATAAAGTCTTACGTAACTTTAGAAACATATCATTTCCATATATTTCTCATAATTTTTATCATAAGCAAACAGTGATTGCAACTCTTAAATTCTCTGATTTTTTATATTCAGTAGGGGAGAAAACATCATTTGGGAGTAACAAAAAAAAAAAAAAACAATTAAGATTCTGAATTACTGGGCCATGATAAAGCAATTAAGAATCTGAATTATTGGGCCGTGATTGGGCTCAGAATATAGCAAAGCCCATAGAAGATTCTTCACCAACTTCACCTAGTTGCAAGACTAATTGGTGGGTCCCATTTGCAACCATGGACCCAATCTTAACTTTTTCATCGTCGACAAAACAGAAAAAAGCGAATCTCATTGACATATATAAAATGGAAGAAAAGAAAAAAAAACGATTTTCATAATTCAGGAAATAAATGAAAGAAAAAAAACAATGAGAGGAATAAGGAAGGCTGATATATTAGTCCCTCATCAATCTCATCTCTTCCTCCTTCTCTTTTCCAATTTTCTCCAACTTCCTTTCTCTCTCTCTATTCCTCTTTCTTCTACTCTATCGCCGCTTCTGTATCTGAGCTTTATCAGCGGAGATTTCGATGAAATCAACGAAACCGATGTCGGTTACGAAGGACGAGTGGGTAACGGCGGCTTTGACGGACGACGAGATGGTGGTGGAGCTTCTTCTACGCCTCAAGCATGCCGGAACGGTAGTGTCCGATGATAATCCCGCGGCGAATTTACCTCTGTTACAGTGGGGCTTCCGTCAACGACGGTCGCGCCCGTCGAGATTAGGCGTCGGCGTCGGAGGTTTCTTAAAGAAGGAAACGGATTCCGCTAGAGCCAGTCCTATGACTCCTTTATGCTGGAGCGGTGGATCTGGTAGCGGCGGTTCTGGTAGCGGCGGCTCTACTTGTCCCTCAGCCGCAACCGCCGATGGATTCGAACACACTAGTCGTCAAGCTAGCTGCTCCACATCCACCGGATCCGGATCTAAGGTATGTATTATTTTCTCCTTCCTCCATCTCCAATTCTCTCCGCTTGATTCTCTTCTCCGGGTCTCCTTCTTCTTCTCAAACGTCATTATCTCTTTAGTTTTGGTTCCGATCTGGCCGGATTATTCCGGCTCTCATCGTGATTCGCGGTATCGCGATTGCGGCGAGATTTTCCGTTTTCTCTTTCGAAAAATTATATGATTTTCCAGTTTTTTTTCTGCTGATGTCATCGCCGCCGGCTAAAATCGCGTTTGAACAGATCTTTTTTGGCTAAATCCTATTTGACTAGATCGCGTTTTGTTCAGTTTTTAGTCGTCTGCGTCGGAAAATTAAATGCTCCGCTGAATTTTTTTTTAACCTTACCCCTTAGGTGAAATTCTTACCATCTTATTTTACGGATCCATCTATATTTTCTAGAAATCTTTTTAGTTAATGATTTTTATTATTTCGTTTTTCAGATTTGTTTTTTCTGACTTTTTGGTAAGTTGCACAATTCATGGGCGTGACTTTAATACCTATATACAAATCTCCACTCAGCGAGGCTTTAATGAGTTAAAATCTTTTTTTTGTTTTGTTTTATTACTGTGGAATCTTGAATCACTCAACGAGCCGGTAATTTTGGTATTTAGTGTTTATTTTTGAAATTTTAGCCGGTTTGGGGAATTATTACGAACCGGTCGCTTATTCTATACGATTCGGGTATAAAACGGTGTCGTTTAATTGACTGTGTGTAAGCGAGTAAAAAAACCTTGTCGGATACATTGTTTGTCATCACGTGATGATGATGGTGTCATGTGATGTTGCCACGCCACGGGATTATCATGATGTGGCGTGCATGATCCATGTTTAAAACAAAAAAAAAAACTTTTTTGAATAAGTTTCTCGAATTTGGTTATTTTTAAAAAATCTTACCTTATTCAAAAACCTTTTTTGAATTTGGTTAGGTTTTTTACTTTTGAGACTCTTTTTGTCTTTGAATTAAAGACTTCTCTTTTAGCATCTAATACCCCTTTAATATCTTATTTAATTCCGTTGAACTTTATCAAATGTTACCTACTCCTTCTGTTTGATTTTTAGATTAAGAAAACTATAAATGCTCAATTATTTACTGTTTATTTTTATTAATTAAATTACTTTTACAACTGATTTCATTATTTATATTATTATTATTATTTTTAACTGTGTATTAATGGAGTAAAGCAACATGCATTAATATTATTCATTCAATTTAAAGAAGAAACATGCATTTATTAGATGTAGGAAATCAAATATTATAAAACAAAAAAAAAACCTAGAAAATGAACTATAATGAAATAAAAGGAGTATTAAATAGCTACTCCACGACAAAAAAAAAGAAAAAATAGCTACTCCAATAACTTTTTTATCGTTTTTTACCATTAAAAAAAAAACTTCTTTATCGTTAATCAATGCTTGTATTTTTTTTGCAGGCGGTACATGCAACAAATGAAATCACCAGCTCTAGCTTCAGGAGATTAAAGAAAAAGAAGGTAACAGAGATCTCACCGTAAATCTCATAGACATTCTTTCTCTTTCGATTTTGCACGCTCTCTAATTTCTTGATATATTTTTACAGACATTCTTGGAACTTAAAGATGCAGAGAACTTTCAGTTGAATGAAAGATTTCACCTTGAAAAGGTATAAATAGTATTATTATTTGTTCTCTCTGCTTCTTTTTAAGAAGCTCTGTTTTGCTTCGAAAATTGTATGTATTCTGATTAGTTGTTGTCTTCATCAGAAGATTGCAAATGTGCAAGCAACATACCAGGAACGAAGTGCTAAGAACAAAAGCTTGAAGAGAATAAAGGTCTGATTTTGATAGACATTTCTATTCTACCTAACTGTTCTCTCTGATCTTGAAACCTGAATCATAATCTAATGTTTTTTTTGTTGTTCGTTGTATTCTAGCTTGAATACTCAGATCGAATCAAGAACATTCCAATTAGTAACTCTAATCTCGACGAGCCTCGGAAAAAGAGACGCTTACCTTCTTCCATCTCTCAAAAACTCGTGAGAAACGAAAATTCCTACAGATCAACAAGTGAAACTAAGAGCTCTGAAGAAAAGGGTTTCTTCTTCCTCCCTGATTTGAACATGACACCCACTGATGAAAACGAGACATTGTACGGGACGAGCTAAAGAAAGCTTCAAACCACTCAATGCGCGTCAGGTAATTAATATAGATTAGCTTTTTGTCCGTGTAAGCGGTGGGAGATCGAAGCAGGCGAGTTCGCTGACAAGAATTCACACTACGCAAGAAGGGCTCGAGAAGGTTTATAAGAAAATAAAAAAGAGAAAGAAAGAATGTAATAAGAGGATTACGCGGGATTACGCTAATATTCTCGTTTTCTTTTATTCTCTCTCTTTTTGTGAAAAGTTTTCTTGGGTAGAACGATCTTTTTACTTCTTTTTTTTGAGGAGGAAATTAGGGTTCCTTTTTTTATTCCCCTGATTCGTTGTAGTTGTGCGTAATTCAAGAAAAATGTAGGCTACCGAATAGATTTTTAACTTACCCCAAAAAAAATCTCAAGCAGCAGAAGAAACGTTTTTTACTTGTGGTAATAATATCAAGCCGGAATAGAGTAATCAACTTTGTTATTTTATTGAGTTAAACTAGGAATAGAGTAATCAACTTTGTTATTTTATTGAGTTAAACTAGGAAAAGCTGGGTTATAAACTTATAAATCATATAATAAATCATATGTTGTGGTTTGGTTTTGGTGGGAACCATAACGGTTCAGATTTTTCGATAGGAAGATTAACCGGTGATAGAGAATAAATGTGGGATTCTCTTATGATGTCTTGTGATGGTTTAGCAATATTAGTCTGTTAGACAGAGTTTTACATAGTTCACTCACGAGGCATTTAGGAAAATAGTCGATTACGTCATGAACTTGATAAATTGATAGAAGTCTTCCAAATTCGTGAAATTTACCGAGTAGTCTCATATTGGAGTATAGTATTTATATTTATTATGATAACTATTTCAGTAAATATGGAGTTGAATAATCAGGAAAGGTCTCAGTCTGATTGCTGATTTAATTGGCGAGCCAAAAGAACTGATGATTTTACTAATAAACTTGTTAGTCTTACCCTTGCTCATGTAAAGGTCGAAGTAAATCTTACAAAGGTCCTTCTTCGGATTGTTGAATTTGAAAGACAGAATGGTCAGATTGTTGAATTTGAAAGACAGAATGGTCAGATTGTTGTGGAAGTCGACAATCCTTAGCTGCCATCTACCTGCTCACATTGTAAAGAATTAGGTCATATCGCAAAAAATTGTCTTCTACTGCCTCCACAGCCATCGGTTCCCAAACTCCCAGTCAAACCTAAAGGATATTAAAGGAAAAGCTTATGTGGATCCCAATGTTACTCCTAAGACGCCTATTCAGAAAGGCTAAGGTGTAAGAAGTTTGTTCCTCGTGTCTTTTTGACGGTTGCTTCTGGTTCTAGTTCATCTCAAAGTTCTGTGAAAGAAACACCAAAAACTCTGTCCAAAGCTCTGACTCAGGATAATGTATGTAGACTGGCTGATTCTAACCTTTCTTCCACCTTAATCCCTTCTTCTATTTCCAGATCAGCCACTAGAATCCTTCCTCCAAATCTCCTAAAATCATCTTCTTCAAACTCTTTCCTTCCTTCTTGTCCGCTCCTTTCTGCTCCACCTGATTCTGGTCTTTTCTACAGGTAAGCCAGGTCTTCTCAGCCCTTCCAAAACTCAAACAAAAAAATCCTTAAAAAGATCTCATTCAAGTTCCACTTTAATCTCTTTCCCTCCTCTTACTAGTTTTTCATCAAAATCAATCCCTATCTCTTTTGAGGCTTCTGTTAAGCCATCTCTTACTAATGCTGACTCTATTTCTATTGATTCTATTTCTATTACTAACCCTACTTTTATTTTTTTGGACTTCCTCTTTCAACAGGGGAGTCAAATCCTATTTTTCTATGAATATAAAAAACTTTTTTTAGAATGTCCGAGGACTTAATGAGCCGGACAAGCATGAGCCTTTTTGTAAGTGGCTGTCTACCCATCAGCCTCTTTTTGGATCCCTACTTGAAACTCATATTAAGATCAAACTTTGAACCAGTTAATGTCTAAAATTTGTAAAAGGTGGAACTTTACCTCTAATTACTCTTCTGATGAAGATGGTCGCATCATTGTCATATCAGACCCAGTCAAGCTTGCTGTGTTGCGTCAATCTAAGCAATCAGTTACCTGCGAAATAAAGATCCCAAACTGTCATCAGTTTTACTATACTGTTTTTTACACCTCCAACAAATGTGATGAAAGAGCAGATCTTTAGGTGGAATTGATTAACCTGCACTCTGATTACTCTCTTCATCCGTGCCCTTGGCTTCTGGGAGGTGATATCAACGAAATTCTGCATCATGTGGAACAATCTCTTCCTACAGTTAACAATCTGAATAGGCAAATGATTGACTTTATAGATTGCCTTCATCAAATGGGCATGTTCGAATTGAGGTTTCATGGACCCCTTTTTACCTGGTCCAACTGCCGTTCTGCCTTTCCTATTGCTAAAAAGCTTGACCGTGTGCTTGTCAAAAACACATGGATCACCCTTTTCCCAAACAGCACTGCCTATTTTCTTCCCACCCTCACCTCTGATCACTGTTGAAGCCTGGTCGACCTTGCCCAGAAATTACCTCAATCCGGTACCCGCCCTTTTAAATTCTTCAACTACCTTACTCTTCACCCAAAGTTTCAACAAGTGGTTGACGAAGCATGGATTCAGGCCGGAAGCTTTGCTTCTAATCTTACTGATCTCTGTTAGAAGCAAAAGATCATAAAGAGAGAGCTAAAACAATTAAATAGAGAGAATTTAAAAAAAATTCAAGAGAGAGTGAGATTAACGAGCTTCTTCAAAGTGTGTAGGTCATGGCGTTGCAGAATCCAACTCCTGATACTTTTCGGGAAGAAAGAGAACTTCATGAGAAATGGATTTTCCTAAGAAGCATAGAAGAAAGATATTTTAAACAGAAGTCTCGGATTAACTGGTTGCAAGTTGGAGAACAGAATATTGCTTTCTTCTATAGAGTCTCTATGTCAAGGCAAAGTTATAATGCTATAAGATCTTTCACCTTACCTTCTGGTGCAGTTCACGACCCTGAGGAAATGAGCCTTATTGATGTAAACCATTTCAAGTCCATCCTTGGACTGGATGTTCTTCTGCAAAATCACATCTACTCATCCTCTGAATGGTTTGGGTCGCTCTTCTCCTTCAGATGCACTCAACAGCAACACCAAGCAATGTTGTATCTTCCATCCCCTACAGAAATATCAAAGTGTGTGCTTAAGTTGAATCCGAAAAAACTGCGTGCTTAAGTTGAATTCAAAAAAATTGCGTGGGCCTGATGGACTGACTTCGGGGTTCTACAAAGAAGCTTAGGGTACCTTAGGTGAAGAAGTTGTTACTGCAATTTCTCAATTCTTCATCACGGGGTTTCTACCTGCGGCTACTAATTCCACCATTCTCTCGCTGATTCCTAAGTTTCTTGGAGCATCAAAGGTATCAGACTTCAGACCCATCTCCTGCCTCAATACAATTTATAAAGTCATTTCAAGGCTGTTGGTATCACGATTGAAACCTCTTTTGCCTGATATGATCATTCCAAATCAGACTGCTTTCGTAAAGGATAGGCTGTTAGTTGAAAATACAGTACTAGCTTGTGAGTTGGTTAATGGGTACCACAAGAATAAGGGTCCTAAGCGAATCACAATAAAAGTGGATATAGCTAAGGCTTTTGACACCCTGTTTTGGGATTTTCTATTCAGTTGCTTACAAGGATTGATGGTCCCTATAACCTTTAGCAGGCATTACTACCACGAGTTTCACAGTCGGTTATAATAGTTCAGTGCAAGGGTATTCTAAAGGAAAGAAAAGTTTAAGGCAAGGAGACTTTTTGTCTTCTTACCTGTTTGTCATCGCTATGAATTTCCTATCGTCTATATTAAACAGAGCAGCAGAAGAGGGGATATTTAACTACCATTATAAGTGTGAGAGATCAAAGCTCACTCACATGTGTTTTGCTGATGATCTCCTCATATTTGTGCATGGTTCGATTAACTCTGTTCAGAACGTCCTGCAAGTACTCCATGAGTTTGAGCTCCGTTTTGGGCTAGAAGTTAGTTACCAGAAGACTTTTTGATCAGTTTGCGGAATCATTGGAGGATGAACCGGGGACTGGTTCAGTACGTGAGTATGTGACAGAGTTTCAAGAATTGTCTTCTCAGGTCACTGGAATGGACAATAAAAGCTTGACCAACGTATTTTACAATGGCCTGAAACCGGTGATGAAGGATGTCATCCGCATAAAGGAGCCTAAAGAACTTCGAAATCATATTATTGCGATGCTAAAAATGGAGTCCAGTGTGTTCTGTAAGATGGTTCGGGAGGCATACAAACCAGAGTGGAAAGCTAAACGGTCAAGCGTGACAACAGTTTACAAAACGGCTGTACCGGCTAATCGACCATGGCATAAGAATGCACAGGGAACAGAGAATATGACAGAGGCAAATCAAGTTGGACGACCTGCATTGACTGACACAACAAACTTGAGACCTCGTCAGCATTGCACTGATGCAGAATTGGATGAAAAGCGACGAAATGGTATCTGTTTCAAATGGGAAGTATACAAAAGGCCATCGTGATGTGTGTCCAAAACGAGCATTACAACTCATAACAGTGGTCAACGGGTATGAGTTAGAAGTCTTAGATGAAAAAATGATGGAGGCTGAGACTGAAACAGAAGAGGAACCAATACAGATGATGCAACTGTCTTTCAATGCATTTATGGGTCTGGACCCACCTTCTACGACCAAACTACGCGGAAAGATAGGCAACACAACACTGATTTTCATGATTGATAGTGGCGCTATGCATAACTTCTTGGACCCAGAGGTGATAAAGAAGATTAAGCTACCGTTACACAAATATAATAACCTCAGAGTGAAATTGGGAACAAGTATTATGGCGGATGGATTGGGAGTTTGCAAAGATATTGATTTTTATTTGCAAGGAGTGGATTTTGTATCCCATTTCATATCCCTGGAATTAGGAGGAGTGGATGTGATCCTCGGGGTACAATGGTTGAGAACACTGGGCAAATGTGAAGTAGATTGGGAGCTGCATGAATGGAGCTTCAAATATAAAGGGGAGCAAGTAACATTACGTGGGGATGCTGATTTGTTATCTCAGCGTTTATCATTGAAATCTTTAGCTCCTGTCCGTTCCATCAAACACAAAGGAGCGGTTATTGAGTTTGGAAACCATACAGTAAAACAGATACAAGCGGAAATTCCTGCATCGTTGCTACCAGTGTTGGATCAGTATGCAGCTGTGTTCGCAATGTCATCTGGTCTACCGCTAGTACGAGGCCATGAACACTCCATCAAACTTTTGCCAGGAGTAAACTCTGTATCAGTCCATCTTTATCGATACCCGCACGCCAGTAAAGAAGCAATGGAAAAAATGGTATCAGAAATGTTGGAATCCGGCTTTTTACGTCCAAGTCGAAGAAAACATAACTGTACGATGTAGGACAAAGTGTAAACAATGACCCACCTCCACCGCGGATCCAGCAACGCTGCTGAGAACCCACCATCGAAACCACCATCGATCCTGCAACACTTAGCACGGCGCAAACCTGATCTACCGTAAAGAAAAAGAGATGTAGAAGAAGAAGGGAAGCATGGGGGCCCCCTGGCGACGGTGAGCTACCATGCACGCCTGAGAGGAAGATCGGGAATTTTTAATTTGTCGGCAAAGTGGGAAAGCTTTCATATCTGAGTATATATGAAATTTTTAGGAAGTATGTAATCGACTTATTTCTTAAAACTAACAAGGAACCAGAAGGGTCCAATTTGCAGGCAACTTAACCGAGATAAAAAGCACACAAACATTAATGTGTAGACAAGTATTTATAAACATGATTGTTTCATGCCAGACAACAATCTAGCAGAATCTGTGTAATGGTGTTTTGATGATATATATTACTAGTCGTGTGAGTGAGTTTAGTATATTAGACATTTGATTTAGACGCAAATATCTTTTTTTTATCAAACTTTATCCATATAGAAATTTTACCCCATTACATTTTGGCTTAAAATGGTAGTTTTGCAACAGAGTCTGCATTGCTATTTGCAAGTTTGGGGATGAACATAAACCAAATTGAATCAAAATCAGAAATACAACGAGTGATATCAGAAAGAATTCCATAGAGTTCAGTTACCAGGATACCAGAATTGAATGCTCGGATCGCTACCTGCAAGTCGGAGAGGAGAATCAAGTTTCGGGAATTAGCATCTCTTGCCTGAAGTACCGCTGATCTTATTGCCAAAGTTTCTGCCGATAAGGCCGACAACACATGCTGAAGACAAGCAGAATGTTCGGTCGAATTGTGTTGATCATTTGTGAAGATCCATCCTAGACCCGCTGATTGGTTATCCGCTCTCCGTGCTGCGTCGGTATAGCATAGGATATATTCCCTCCTCTGAATTGGTGGAGATTGAAGGATAGTTCTGTCCTAGGGAGGTTCCGGTTGGGTCTGGACTTAGCCTATATACCACTCTCTAGCCTTGCCGATCGCCTTAGTGATTAGATCTCCGGCAGTCAGTTTCCGAGAATTGAAGATTTGTTGATTTCTAGCAGTCCATAAGTTCCACAGGATTCAAGGCTATAATCTCTCCTTAGTGGGTCCAATTGGTGGCAAGTTGATCGATTCCTTGATCAAATTCAGTCCTGAATACAGGTTTTCTACTTCACTTAAGTCGATTTCAGTATACCAGGGTGAGTGTCGCTATACCTCGATAGCAAAGGGACAATAATACAGTAGATGAACTACTGATTCCATTTCTGGGCATATGCAGCATTGGTTGTTCGATGAGACCTGCCGGATTGACAACTGCTCACTGACTAGGAGTGCACTGTGAATTGCTTTTCATATGAATAGTTGGATTTTTGAGGCTGTTTTCACTCTCCATACATGAGACTTCCAGTCAATAGCCAGGTTTTCATATTGGTTCTCTCTGTCCTCATTATCCTCAGCAGCCACCAAGTATCCAGTTTTTGTTGTATATTCACCGTTAGCTTGCTTAAGCCAAATAAGTTTGTCTTGTGCGCCTAAGATACTTGTCTTAATAGGCAAGATTTGGTTTTTGTACAGAGGTTGTAATTGGTCAATTTTTTCAAAGTCCCAATCCTGAGTATTGTTAGTCATTAAATCACTTACCCTTAAATCTTATAGGTGATTCGGGGAAGGTTCTATAGGTAGCTCTTTGGACGATGATGAAAGCCAAGGATCCTGCCAGACTTTAATAGACGATCCGTCACCAACCACCCAGCCAAGCTGCTTCACAAGAAGGTCTTTCCCTACAAGGATACTTTCCACCCATTCGAGCAACTGGATGGAGTTGTACTCTCCAGGTACGAAGTCTCTGACAATACTTTCCAATTTAGACCCAATATAAGAGGCAATGGGGATTCTTTAAGAGTATCCAAATTAGATTTGCAAGGAGAGCATCATTAAAATTGTTGATATCCTTAAAACCCAGTCCTCCTATTTTCTTAGGCTTAGCCATTTTCTTCCATGCAAGCCAGCTAATTTTTCTTTGCTTCTGGTTTGAGTCCCACCAAAAATCCTGGTGAGTGCCAACTGAATTCCTTTGCAGAGAGACTGGAGGAACTTGAAGCATGTCATCGCGTAGGATGGCATAGCTGCTAACACACTTTTCAGCATTACCAGTTTACCAGCGCTGGATAGCATTTTAGAAGTCCAACTAGCAGCTCTTGATTTATCTGGCCAACAATGGAGCTGAAGAGATCTTTTTTCTTTCTTCCAATTGGAGTGTTTAGGTAAGCCCAAGTATTTGCCAACTCCTCCCTCTGTTTCAATTTTCAAAATTTGCATCATCCGGTTCTTTTTTTGCTTGAAGGATTTTCTTAGAGAAAGAAATAGAGGATTTTTGGTAGTTTATAAGTTGACATGAGACTGCTTCGTACTTGGATAGAATGAGCTTTAGTTCTTTGCAGCTTATCTCGGTAGTTTTACAAAAGAACATAATGTCATCTGCAAATAGTAGATGGTTAACCCTTGGATTCGCTCTGGCCACTTTGATGCTTTGGTTGTTGTAAATTTAATATATAACATCTATAAACTAACATATACCTCTATTAAATTTGATAGCTTCTCAAATTCAAAACCAAATAAGTTTTTACAAATTTAAATAGTTCATAAGTTATAGGTAATTTTAAATTTTCTATTTTGTATTTCAAAAAATAGATAGTCGATTACATTTTCATAGTTATAAGTTATAACCTTTTTTTAATTTGATAAAATAATAATTTTTAAAAAAAAATTAATGTCGATTCCAAATAGAAAAAAAAAATCATATCAAAGAGATATGAGTAAAGAGTAAATATATAATTAAAAAATATGAGCTTAACAGCTATTAGGTTAAACTTCTCTAATGGTGTGTGATTTCATATTTATCTTTTCAATCTAATTTTGTTTAATTTTAAGGGTGATCTTATATAGAGTTATGAGTAAAGAGTAAATAAATAATACAAAAAAATATGAGAACTAAAATTAATAAAAATAGTTATTCTATTAAATTTTATTAATTGTGTGTAATTTCATATTTGCCTTCTCAATCTCAATTTGATTAAATTTTGGGTGATTTTATATTTTCTTTCATTTCTTTAGAATATATTTAATGAGTTATCAAATATCAAATTATATATTCGAGGCCTAATCTAGTTTTATATAATGGAAATTTGTAAATTTATAACACAGTTTGCATATGATTGTCCTCATAAGATTTCTTTTGGACTTTTTTCACTCCTTTAATTAATGTTGAAATTAATTAAAGAAAATTTGAATTTAATGTTTATTTTTTTTTAAAATTGAAGAAAATACCCAAAATAGAAATAAGTTATTACCGAAAATCAGTTATGGAAGGTTTTAAATTTTTAAAAATTGTTTTCCACAACATGTAGAACATATATTTTACATTCTACAGTTTTTTAGAATATATTTTCTACACATTTCTCTACAATCTACGAAACCTAGAATTGATGTTCTACATGTTATTCTTCATTCTACTAGTCATATCGAATATGTTTTCTACAAACTCTTCAGCGTTCTACAATCACTAGAATACAAGTTATACATTTTTCATTACGATCTACATTTTACTAGAATGTAAATTCTACTAATCCTTCTTTGTTCTATGTAATGTAGAATATGTTCTTATCCACCAAACTGAATATTTTCCAACTTTTTTATTGGAATTTTTTTATATTTTTTCTGATTTATCCCGTCATCTGGTCCAATCGTTCTCGTCTGTCTGCTTGGGCTGGATTGTGCTCGCAGGATGGATAGATCGATTCAGTGATAGGATCGATCGATCTCTTGTTTTTCTACACTTGCTTCATTTGCTCACCAAATTAGACTATTTTCATGAAAATTGGCATAATGTTTTATTGCACCGTTAGAACTACCTCAAGCCACTTTCAAATGACGAAAGCTAGTCTATTTATCTATCTGGTATCTAAATTTTAGATTGATCCATCGGTATAAACTTCTTCAAAGAGAGCCAAATTTCTGACATATTTGGAAAACTTCTAACGAGTGACGTGTGTGTTCATAAAACAAAGTAGTCAGAATATTTTTTGCCGTGGAGTGGAGACAAAAATTTTTCTTTTTATTTTGTTGATTTTTTATTGATTTTTAATTGTTTTATGTTCAAGGTGAATATCAAAATGTTTTTTAAAAAATTACTAGAATAAAATTTTAAGGATAATTTTGGGTTTCAATAAAAATAAATTTTAGACGGACAATATCTCAGATAATAAATCCTAAAAGGACAAATAGTTTGAATTTTTTTCTTAAATATCTAATTAAAATAAGGGAGAACGTTAGAATTCTGCATAAGTAACAGTTTAAAACACAGTTTGTTTTTTTTTTTCTTTAAAGTATTGATACACAAGTTTTACTTCTGATAAGGGTTTCCATTTTCTGTTGTTTCTTTATCTCTACAGGATTTATATTTTCGATATCTTTCCCTTTTAGGCTTGGTGTTATTCTCTCTTTTTTTTTTTTTTTGAATTCAACTTGGTGTCATTCTGTTACGAGGGCTTTAGGATTTATCAAAAGAGAAGTGATCCTCTTTTATTATAAACTAGATTTTGCACCTATACTATGCGTGGATAATCTTTTTCAATGCTATTATATTAACAAAAATCTTATTCAAGTAGTTATGTTTATTTATATTTTTGTTTGCATGTATTGGCGATACTAATAAAATATATTAAAAATACTTCAGTTTTAATTTTAGAATTTATATCTATTTTTGAAGTTTTAACAGTCTTGTTTGAATAGATATATATATATATATGTTGTTAAAAAATATATTATTTTGTCGAACGCTTAAAAGTCTGTATACCAAAAACCAACCCAAAACCAAAATGTAACAAACTAATTAAATGATATTTAATTAGTATTGACACAAAGATAAATTACTATACATCACTTATTCAATGAAAAAAATAAGTTACATCCTCGTTATATATATTTTTTTATGAAAAAGTAGTAATGTGAATTAAATTTTTGGTATATATTTAAGTATATTTAACAAATTTATTGTCACCCTTAAATTTATGTTTAGACCACCAGTTATCTCCACATATTAATATATGTGTTGTACTTTATGTTATAGTAAATATATTTTAGTTTGTTTTATATTTTAAACTCATGTAAATTTTCTTTAAATCTTTTACTGCTTATAGGTTAGTATAACAAAAATAACTAAAAATTGTAACAAAATAATCAAATGCTATTAAATAAAAAATAGTATTGACATGAAATAAATTAGTATATGTTATCTCTTCCAATCAAAGAAATTATTTTTTTTTTCATCATCTTCAATTTCATACTCTTTATATCACTTTCTAGGAAACCAAAAAAAAAAAAAGGTTAAAATTTACTTTTGTTTCTTAATTGATTTCATATTATTTTATATCTGAGAAAATTGGTATTCACATGGTCTATTTCTCTTTATTGTTGTCGTCCTTTTTAATCTATGGTTGAATTTTATCTCAAATCATTTCTTATTCTTTTTATATTTCATCAGACCATAGTTTTGATCAAGAAGACAAGTAAGTAGGCAAAACAACTCAAAACAAAGAATTCTTACACTAATCTATAACATAGTTCATGTTCTGATTGAATGAATCATTGTTTATGAATGATTGTTGTGAATGTTCTGGAAAACGATCCCTTAATCATGTCAATTTCAAATCCGAATCCTCCAACCATCGATTCTCCGTTTGCAATTTCCACTTTACCAAAATCAAAAAGCCGTTCTTCCTCATCTAGTATCAATTCTCTCTACGAAATTGAATACGTCCCTGGAGATCAGCTACCCCAAACCACACTCCCTCTTGTTAATCCATATGAATACTTTGCCAAAAAGCCTAGTGCTTTCTCGGTTAAAGGTGTTCGAGAACTCATCAAGCCATCTTCCAATCGAAAAGTCATGGAATATGTCCAGTCCAGCAAATTCTCATCCTGCCAAGTCCCAGCAACCGAAGAAGAACAATTCATCTCGCTCAACATACCGGAGAACCTTCCTAGGTTATGGCAACAACAAGGATATACTCACTTACACTTTGGTGTAGTCCGGATCGGTTTGACCTTACATGCTCGAAAAGGTCTACCTGTTGTAGCAAGAATCGCCTTGGTCGATTCAAGACTAAAATCCTACCAACAAGCTTGCATCGGAACAGTCCAAACAACATTAAACGCCGGAACAGTATTCGTGACACTGTTTCCAAACTTTAATGTCTCGCTACAAGATCCAAATCTTCTGAAGACACTCAAGGTTCAACTTCAGCTCACCGGAGCTCCTATGCAAGAGAAAAGTGTCGTGGCGACCCTTCATCATCAGATAGTCTACCGAATCCAAGATCATGCCTTAGATGTTGTACTACCCTCTTCTGATGATGCACTTTACCTAGAAGTCACTTCAGCATCTCAAGCACCAAACTCCATCCAGATTCCTCGTCAAATATCTCGCGAAGAGCTGCTCCGCCGACTACCAGAATCATGGATCACCAGCTACGAGAAGCTGCATCAAGCGGTTCAAACACCGATTCAATCCTCTGAAGTCAGCTTTCATTCACGAAATGATGGTACAACCGAAATCAAGTTCGAAAAACCAAGATCATCCTCATTCCGCAAACAACTGTTCACTCAATTTGCTATCCAAATTGACAAAAGCGAATTCTATTGTCCAGCAAAAGAACAAAATCCTAAACCAATCTCTTTTGGACAGAATGGATCGGTACTATATCCTTTCAAAGATGAAGATGGACATCAATATTTCGATATTCGTTCCTGCTCAGCATGTGAAGAAGCCAACTACGAATCTGATGACGAGATTCACACAAGGAGAAGAAAGAAAAAGGATCCACTCTACAAAAGATATCTAGAAGGAGATCCCACCGTCGGTCCTCTCGGTGAAGGTAACGGGCGATACGACTTTATAGTCCAATATTCGGAAAAGAAAGATGAAGATCAAATCATGATGATCAACACCGAAGACCTCCCTCCTTCAAGCAACTTTTCCAAGGACAACATCGCACATAGCCCGAAGATACTCACTCGAGCAATCAACTCTTCTGGACCAGATCAACTAAGCCAAGGAGAAAAAGTCCTCAACTGGCAAACTGAGAATGCCATCGCTCAAAATCAACTCCTCAAAACAATAAATTACAAGGTTGATCAGCTGACGGAAAATTACATCAAAAGGCAAACTAGCCTTCAGAGCTCAATAACAGAGATCCATGGCCGGCTTAACAATCTTCATCAAGAAATGATGGCTATGGCACAAAATATGATGGTTAATACAGCACAATTCCGTCATAAAGAAGCAGAAACAGCCAGTCTCAAAGCCTAGTTAAAAGATCTTCAAAGAAGCCTCGAGAGTATGATTTACAATCAGAATCCTGCGAGTTCTTATTCCAATCCTTTTGGTGGAATGCCTATGTACCAAGGCACCTACTCCCCAGGATTTCTCTCCGGCTATA